AGGCTGGAGTCAGTGTATTAAGAGCCACCATACACAGACGGATCCTGGACATGGGCTTCAAATGTCATATTCCTCTTTTCAAGCCACTCCTGAACAACAAACAACGTCAGAAGCGTCTTACCTGGGCTAAAAAAAAAACAGACCTGGTCTGTTGCTCAGTGGTCCAAAGTCCTCTTTTCTGATGAGAGCAACTTTTGCATCTCATTTGGAAACCAAGGACCCAGAGTATGGAGGAAGAATGGAGAGGCACACACTGCATGATGCTTGAAGTCCAGTGTGAAATTTCCCCATCTGTGTTGATTTGGGGAGCCATGTCATCTGCTGGTGTTGGTCCACTGTGCTTCATTAAGTCCAGGGTCAACACAGCCGTCTACCAGGAGATTTTGGAGCACTTCATGCTTCCTTCCTCAGGCTTTATGGGGATGCTGACTTCATTTTCCAGCAGGACTTGGCACCTGCCCACACTGCCAAAAGCACCAAAACCTGGTTCAATGACCGTGGGATTACTGTGCTTGATTGGCCAGCAAACTTGCCTGACATGAACCCCATAGAGAATCTATGGGGCATTGCCAAGAGAAAGATGAGAGACATGAGACCGAACAATGCAGAAGAGCTGAAGGCCGCTATTGAAGCATCCTGGTCTTCCATAACACCTCAGCAGTGCCACAGGCTGATAGGTTCCATGCCACGCCACATTGAGGCAGTAATTGCTGCAAAAGGGACCCAAACCAAGTACTGAGTACATATGCATGCTTATACTTTTCAGAGGTCCAATATTGTTCTATGTACAATCCTTGTTTTATTGATTGCATGTAATATTCTAATTTTCTGAGGTTGTGGATTTGGGGTTTTCATGAGCTGTAAGCCATGATCATCACAATTATGACAAATCACGGCTTGAACTATCTTGCTTTGCATGTAATGAGTCTATCTCATATATTAGTTTCACCTTTTAAGTTGCATTACTGAAATAAATTAACTTTTGCATGATATTCTAATTTTTCGAGTTTCACCTATAGTATATTAATATGTTTTGTTGCATTTTCATGGCTATATGAAAATAAAAATATCCACACACTTATAGTAATTGTGTGGATATTATTATTTTCCTATAGCTGCGGTAAGGAGTTTGCAGTTCGCTATTATTATTTTTTTTATAGCAGTCTATCTATATATATATTTTGTATATTTATTAATAATTTTTCCAAATTCACTAGTTTTAGGTATTTTTCAAATTATATTTTATTTTATTGAATAGACCATGTCTTCGTAAAAATACACTTTACCTGTTTTAAAGGTTTAAGAATGACAATGCCACATCCTTCTCCTCTTCCATAGCCATCAGCCTTTTTGGAAAATGGTTTACTTGTTCCCTCAGGAGAAACCATTTTTGCTTTACTGAGAGCAACATAGATATGAGGATCTATGATACAGCTGACACCACCACATATTGCCATCTCACAATCTCCTGTGAAAGGAAAGAACAATTTCCAGGAGATATTTATATATACATATATAAGTGTAAGTCAGGCTGTAAGAATATGCAATTTAAGTCTGATGATCACTTATAATTAAAGTGTATTTTTATTCATTTTAGATAAAGATAAAAGTTAGAATCTCTGTTGATTTTTTCACTCCCTTTATATCATGCAACCAAACACTATAGACCATAACAGTGATCATGAATCTTTCAGCAGGTACAACAGCTTCTAAGGGTCTATGCTCGCAGGGCTGAAGAATATGCAAGTTCCCTTGGCAGAAAAAAAATGCTCATATAGAGAGCTTCTGTATAATATCCAAATGTGCATGGACATATAGGATAACATTGAGCTGCTTCTACTGGCAAAACACAAAACTCCTGTAGAAGCAGTGTTTTTAAGCCCAGTGCGCATGGACCTAATTATGTTTTTTTAACTGTGTGGTTTATTTCCACTAGATTTTCCATTAAATCTGAGAATAATCTAAGGAAACCCTTTATTTGTCAGGTCACAGATAGGCAGATCTAGGTGCCTGCAAAATCTGTCCAGTTTAAATATTTTGTACCATGATAAATACTGCAACTGCTGCTATGCACTTGGCTAACTATTTTTAATTAATATTATTATTATTATTTATTATTATTGCATTCATCTAATGCAAACTGAAAAGATTATCCTCTTTTCAAATGTTAAAAATCTGTGTCTAATACATGGCTAATTGCTATTATTGGCTGTTTATTCCTAGAGATGACTAAATGTAGCATTGCTACAGAATATCTGTTAGTATACACTGCAATAGTGCTAGAAGATCATTTCAAAAGCTAAATGCAAATTGACTGTTCACTTTGCAGGGAATTCTCACTTTGCAAGGGAATTATCATTTTGCAAAGAATGTCCTTTCAGGTGCAAGGAAAATAAAAAAAAAATTTTTGTTTTCACATGATTGATTGATGAAAGTCAACAGAGCTTCACCCTATTCACTAGGGCTGGCTATACATTATACAATTTTCCTGTAGATTTGCCAAAACCATATAATATGAAGTCAAATCTAAATTCTGTCAATATGTATGCAATCAGGCAGGCCCTTGCACGACATAGTTGAAGGTAAATCAATAGGAAATTGAAAAAGAAAATTGTATGAAGTATGGCCAGCCTAAGCAAAGGGAAATTCCCCTTGCAAAATGAAAATTCCCTGGCAAAGTGAACAGCCTATTTGACTTTAGTAATTCAGCCCCATAATATTTATCCTTTCATGGACAGTGTCTGAAGTAAAAATGTACCCACATACATCAGGTAAAAGTCAACAGAAACACTCATTTGACCTTTGTGAAGTTTTTGAAATGCAAATGACAGTTTTAGAAACTATTTGCACACAAAATCCAGTAGCCAGTATGTATGCAAATTTTCCAGGGTGGAGGTTTCAGAAATTTGAATCAACACTGAATAATACACCTGTAAAGGTCATATTAATATTCATACATTTAAATGGCAGTAAAAAATTGATGATCAACTAGCAAGACTAACAAAAATCATTACTTGATTATTTTAAAGTTAAAGTTATGAAGACTAAATAGCCTAAACAAACTTGATGAAAGAAAGAAGTATCTACAAAGAAGCAAGTGAATACTTACCTCTTCTATTTCCTATTCCAACAATTACCAATCCATTGGGGAGAAATCACCAAGTGAGGGTTCTTCAGATACAGACACTTTCAGGATCGTGTCCCCCCCTGTGCTCAGTGGCACCTTCCAACAAACCCCAAGCCAGTATTGTATTCTGCAGAGATGTGGGGATCAGTGCGAAGAACATCTGAGCACAGCGAGATCAACACTCCCCGAAGTGTGGGTTTCTAAAGGAACTTTATCCATTGGTTTCTGTTCAATGGAGTGGTTACCTTTTCTGCTGCAGACAGTGTGAGAGGTAACTATTTACTTTTTTGCAGACACTTATTTTTAAGTAAGTTTGTTCATATGACAGAGTTGCTTTAAGGCTTACAAAAATTTTTCTTTGTACCAGACATATTTATCCATTGTCAAAGTACATAAAACAATGCTGAGTGGCACAGTTTAATAGCACATTGCTTGTAAGCAACCCTGCCCCATCACTATCAGACACACTTTTAGAAGCCCAATAAGTGTATGCATTTTTGTAAGCATTAGCTGCCTAATAAAGTATGACTCTGCATTGGACTAGCTGGAATTTCAGTTTTTTCACAATCGATCTGTGGGGAGTCACATAGACCTACCATCTAGCATTTTGCATTGGATAACAGATCCACTAGAGTAAATGAGCTGTCCCTTGTCTTTTCTACAGTGAACTGAAACAAATAGCAGATATTGTCTGGCATGATTATGGACACATGAGCTACTCAAAGGCTGTAGATTTACGTCCTATTTTTATAAGAGTTCTGGTTTGACCCCAGTTAGTACCTTGTCTGATGGCTTGGCATGCTAAATGTAGTGCAACAAGGGAGGAAGAACAGGCGGTATCCAGTGACAACGAAGGCCCAGTCAAATTGAATTGATATGATATCCTGTTTGCTGCTATGCACATTGACGTGCCTGTTCCATTGAAGTGATTGATGTTTTCAGGATAATTATTGTATATAAATTCTGCATCTCTGTTCATTAAACCTGCAAAATAAGGGCAGATTTACCGAAAGTCAAATCCTTTCAAATCTCTTATTACAATTCAAGATAAAAATCATTGGATGAAATAACTTTATGGTCCAACTCTGCCCACTCCCCAACCAATTGCCTTTTCACTCATGCAAGTGAAGGGTCCTGCTCTTTTGTTATATTCTCCATGGTTTAATGTATGAACATAATCATCAATAATAATTAAAATCCCCCAAAGTTATATAGCTATTAGAGATTATACAGTTAAATCATTTTGGGCTGATAAGAGTTGGTGGATCATCTAATCCAGGGGTCTCCAAACTTTTCAATCAAAGGGACAGTTTACTGTCCTTCAGACTTTAGGGGTGCTGGATCGTGGGCAGTGGGAGTAGAAAATGTCCCAAGCCCAGCATCAGTGAAAATAAACATGACCTCAGGATTTGTGGATAGAAGGAGTAGTTCCCCGTATTGGTATCAGTAGGAAAGAGAGTACCCCATCGATGGTGTCAGTGGCAGTAAGTATGCCCCACTGCTGGTGTTAGTGGGAGGAATAGTGCCTCATATCATTATTTGACCCCCAAGGGCAAGATAAAGGGCTGCATCCGGCCCTTGGGCCACAGTTTGGAGACCACTGATCTAATCATTAACATGGCTGTTTGATATCACTGTGTTATTAGAATGCCAAAGTGCGTTGTTCCTTGTGTTTAACAGAGCATAAATTAAAGTATAAACAGTAGAAATTCTAGGCAAATGGAATTCATCACACACTTATTCCCGATTTCCTGAAATTCTGATTTGGGTACCATGGGTTCCTGCACATTGTACATCACTGTTCTTTGTGTGGGAGACCTGAATTATTGCTAAAATCTCAGATGTTGGCAAGATATTTTTTTGGCAGCATAAATTAATTTTGCTTACCTATGAAGACTCCAGTATTGCTTCCACTGATGCTCTCCATGGCATAACCAGCATCTTCCAGAGCCCTGTATGTACACTGCAGCAGTAATTTGTGCTGTGGATCCATGTGATCAGACTCCGAATTATGAATTCCAAACAGTTTATTGTCAAACATATGAATTCTAGGATACAGAAACAAGTGTCGTTTTATCAGTACTATTTAGATAAAAGAAATTGTAGAGAGCTTCTTGGAACAATTATAAACACAAATGATCCAGAAGTCAAAAAGTACGACTCAGACTTGTATTTGAAAGAGCAAAGATGAAAGACCTTGAAAAGAACTTTAAAAGTACTGATGTGCCTATAAGCACACAATAAGAATGGTTCAGGCTATAGTATTTTCTGTCACTCTCTATGGATGTGAAAGATGGACAGTAAAGAAAATAGAAAAAAACATTTATGCCTTTGAACTTTGGTGTTTGAAAATAATTTTAAGAATATAATATCCTGGACAACAAGGTAAACAAACAGATGGTTTCAATCATGCCCAACCTTTCATTGATAGCCAGATAGCTAAAATATGGCTGTGTTATTTTGAACATATTGAGGTTGGTTTACTAAAGGCAAATAGACTTGCAAGTGCAGTTGTTCTAGAACTTTGTAAATGAGCAGAAGCTCTGCTTATTTTGATCATCCAATCATGTGCAAGCAAAAATGTTTTTTTTTTTATTTTCCTTGCAGGTGATTGAGTATTCTTTGCAAAGTGAAGCTTTATCTCATTTACTAAGCTCTGGAGCAACTGCACTTGCAGAGTGCACCTCACTTTTAAAAGTGCACAGCCTATTTGCCATTATGAAAGAACAAATTCACTGGAAAAGACAATAATGCTTTGAAATATTAAAAGGAAAAGAAGACGATAACAGGCAATATGGCTGTGTACAGTCACAGAATGTATAAACATGCCTTTGCGAAGACCCAAATTGAAGGCCAATCATTTTGCAAAAAGCACTATCCATGAGTACACCAGGAGTCAACATCAACTTGTTGGCAAATAATAATAATTAAATTATTTTATAACTATAAAAAATATTACATTTTCTATAAGGGTGTAAGGAAAGCCCAGTACGTATCAGAACAAGAAGACATGCATCTAGTTCTGAGCAAAGACTTACTGCAGGATGTGTATTAGCAAGTATGTCCAAACATTTAGCGTGCACACTAAGCTGCTCATGCGCATGCACACTTGGCACTATCATTGTGGCCAAACAACCTAATTATGTTGGATTGCAACATCAACAGATTTGGTCTTCAGTTATTTCCTGCTTTACCTGTGCTCTGGACTGCTATATTTGCCTTCATGTGCACAACCTGGCTTGCCCCTGAACTCTCTTTGGATTCCTGCCTACTTGTTGTGACCTCAGCTTGTACTCTGACACCTCTCCTGCTTTACGTTCCTGTACGTCGCTGCCTGGCTGTGTACTGATCCCCGTTTGTATCCTGACTCTGCCTTGTGTTCCTGTACCTCACTGCCTGTGATCCACAGTCATCTTCATCCTGCAACCAATAGCTGGTGTTGCCTGCTACACCAGCCCTTGTGCCACCCTGTTTCCTTACTCCTCCCATCACCGCTATAATGGGTGTTGGACAAGAGGTGCAGGAGAAGCTCCCTCTCCAGCTCAATCCCCAATGGGTACATGACAAAGGTTATTTATGCATTTAAAATTAATTGGGTTTAACTTGTTACCGTTTCATCAAATTGTTCCTAGGTTGGAAATATGAGTAGACATCCTACATTTAGAATAACTTAAATATTTTCTGGATAATGCTAGCATGTGTTAACAACCATGTTGTCTAGTTAATAGTAATAAAGTATAACTAAAGACAAAACTTTTTGTTTTTATTTGGATAGAGTAGTGAGAGTTTAGAATCACTGTCAGGTTTTTTATTGCTATATAGGAAGATTTACTCGCTTTTATTGTCCTGATCACCAATGTCACTTCCTGTTGGGTCTAAAAGACAGGAAGTGAAAGGAAATCTCCCTAAAGAGACACAGATGGCAGAAATAAAACTGATAGGACAAGGGTGTTCACTGCATGCAGTGGGCCTATGTGCTAGGTCATAAGATGGGCCCCCTCTGAAGCTGCAATAGGAGAGAGCGATGCCAAGCTCCAGCCACCTACACCAGTACATTAGAAAAAAGATAACTTTAGTAATAAAGTAGTACGGTACCAAATGGTGGGTGTGTTAACAGTGGAAAGGGAACATGGTGAAATATAACAGATGTAGCACAATCATTGAAAATAAACCTAATGATACTATTCAATTACATAGCCAACATTAAAGAGTAACTCCACTTTTATTGTGAAAAAAAAAAACACTATTCTCTGGGTGATCAATGTACATTGCAAGGATTTTAACAAACTTTGTTTTAGATTCCTACCTGTTTCTGCTCTGAAGAAAAAGCTGTTCGATGTCTTTTGGATACTGATTCTGAATGGGAGTTAATTTTTTTTTTCGTTATTAGTCAGCTGAGCACTTGCAGTGCTCGAATGAGGAAAGCTGCAATGTTTGCATCCTTTTAGAAGTGATTAACCTTTTAGGAGCATCTCTCACCAAAAATAAAATTTTTGTGCAGAGGATGCCTAAAATCTGACTTGTTTCTTAGTGCAGACCTCTGGGAAAATCTGTCAGCCAATCACACAAGCAGTAAATGATATTTCTGAAAGCATTCTGCAACACCAACTGTGAACAGAAGGCCCTCAGGTTGCATATTACCGAAAATTACAGTGCTGCAGATTGAAAGGAAAAGTAATTTTTATTAACATTAAATTACAATGGCTTTTGTCACAATTATGTTTTTTTTTTTTTTCTTAACTTGCTATATTTTTTTCCCATGAAAGTGGAGTTACCATTCAGTCGCTTCAGGCCCAGTATGTTACACCCCCTACCTGTCCAAGCCATTTTTCAGTTTTCAGTGCTGTGATAATTTGACAGACATGTAACACTGCACCATTATACAATTTATAACTTTTCTATACAGATAGAGCCTTATTTTGGCAGTATTTGATAAACAGAGTTTTACCAATATATTTTACAATATAAAGGGAACAAAATAAAAATTTCAAACCAAAAAAAAAAAAATATATATATATATATATATATATATAATATTTAGTCAACGTTATAGTATCTACAAACAATGGTATAAACAGGTATATTTGACATTTATCGATCCAGATGTTTTGACTGCCTGTTTCATTTCTTGAGGCGCTTTTTTGCATTTTGAAGATTTTTCTTTTTTTTAAATTATGAAAGTAAATTAAATTGTATTTGTTTAACAAAGTTATTTTAATAGGTTATTTCTCACAGTACAGTATGGTCATACTTACAATTACACCCCAAAAACATTTAGCTACTCTTGAGTATGGCCATGCCACACTTGAGATTTTTTGCATTTAGCCACATAGAGGAACCCAAAATCCAAGGAGCACCTTCAAAGGGCATGAATTATGCATCTAATTTCCTGACTACCTATCACATTTATGGTGCCCTGAAGTGCCAGGACAGTAGAAACAGTAGAAACACAAGCAAAATGACCACATTTTGGAAAGCAGACATCACAAGGCACAGGGTATCCTTTGAAGACTTAATTTTTTTGCCACAAGTTTTTGGAAAGCAAATAGAAAAATGTTGTCATAAAATAGTCATTTTAATAAGATATTTCTCACACACAGCATGTGCATACTTAGAAGTACACCCCAAAAACGCATTCTGCTACTCCTCCCCAGTTTGAAGATACTACATGATACTACATGAGTAAGACTTTTTCACTGCCTAGACACAGAGGGTTCTAGACGTCAAGGAGCACCTTCATGCTGGGGTGCCAGGTCAATAGAAACACCTGCAAAATGCCCCCATTTTGCAAAACAAACACTCCTAATAGGCATGGGGAGCGATCTCAATTTTTGTCACAAGTTTATGGAAAATTGCTGTAATTAATGAAAATAGTTTTTTTTTTCATGGTAGTCTAGTGGGGCACTCCATAAAGAAAGAAAAAATCCACCACTTACCTGTCATGCAGCCCTCCACAGCTATTTCTTTGCATAGTTACAGTACTCCTATCCTTTTGATACCTGAAAGGCTCCTTCAGGTATAACAGGGAGACTGCTGCAGCTTTGATGACTGTGCTGTGGAGTGTCCAATAGGATATTTTGTAGCACAAAGCGGCGTGTGCCCACCCCAACTGTATGCTGGACGCATGCTTTTTTCAGTGCTGGATGCTGGACTGCAGAGAGCGTTCCAGTAACCAGCACACTGCTGCAGTTCTGCTTATCACACCAGCATGTGTGAAGTGAGTGCACAATGGGCCCTTGTGCACTGCACACATTATGGATGCACCCCTGTGATGGGGGTTTAAATCCTCCACTACTCTATACAAAATGAAAAATATGCAATTTTAAAAGTTGTTTTTAATAGTATGAGGAAATATGTTTTCACCAGTGTCAAAATAAGAAGGAAGTATTGCTCCCTCATCAAGTTTTTTTCATAGTAAGCATTCTCCATACTGCCTCTTTGTGTTATTAACTGCCATTTTTGTGTCTCGAACATGAATGAGGTTAGACCACAGCTCTTGGAATGGCACAAGTCCTTTGCTGTATTTTTTGGAGGGCAGGCATTAACGTATTTCTGCTAATTTTGTCCTTTTCTTTTAAGTGGAATGAAAAGTAATTTAATGATTATTTTAGTTACATTTGAAATGAGATGCCTTAACTTGTGATCAATGTAAATGCCTCCTACTTTGGTGGTCAGTGGAAAAGAGCTCCCTTTCATTAGCGGGCAGTGGAAATATCCCTTTACCTTGGTGGACAGGGCTGTATCATATTGGAGGTAAGTGAAAAGTGCCACCAATACATTTTTGATCAGCGAAGTTGCCCTTTTACACCAGAGGTCAGTTAAGTGGCCCCTTAGCATATAAAGTCTCTCTGTACATTGGTGGTCAATGTAGACGGTATCATGATACATTGATGGTCCCTATAGTGGCCCTTTATTTTAGTAGATCAGTGCACCCATTACATTTGCGATCATTGGAGAAGTGCCTCTGTTACATTGATAGTAGAGACATGCCCCCTTTCTACAAACAAGTTCATATGAAGTCTATAGAGAAAAAAAGGAGGACACTGGATACACCATCCTGTTCTGAGGAAACAATATTGTTTGACCAGAAAGATTCATCCCAACTGATCAATTTTACCTTAAGCAACAGCAGACAGGGAACTTCAGCCAGGTGGTGTGGAAGGACTAACGAACTCCACAGTGAAACTTTGCCAGATTGTAACACAAGCAGATACAATATACTCTGGCACAACCATTTCAAGGCTTTAATATAAATATTTACTGAATGCACTTACCCCTTTACTATAGCTGCTCGACTGGTGCATATTTTGCCTGGCTTGCTATAATCTGAGTCGTACCAGTGTTTGGTGTTAAATCTTTCTTCAGGTATCTCAACTGTGCAGTTCCTTCCTTCAGAAATAACTTTCCAAAAGTTATCAATTCCCTCCCCTGTTAAATAGAAAAATCAACACAACAGCATAAACAGCATTAGAAATATAATCAGAAGTTTAAATTATGATCATTTTAATATAACTCTACATGGACTGTGACCCATAGACCTCTATAAATGCACCCATTTATGTTGAAGAGAAGGAGAGAAGGGACTTCAGAAGAATCAATTGCCAAACACATGTCAGTAGTCATAAGTTTTTGCTTACTTCCTCAACACGATCAAACCCCAGACATCAACAGTGTTCGCAGGCTTCACCCACAGCTGATGTCTGATCATAGCAGTTAATGGCAGCTTTTAGCTTTTTCTATTTCAATGGTTTTTATTAAATTTTTTAAACAGTATAAACAGAGGCAATAAAACACGCCCACGCAGGGGCTATCAATTGCACAGATAAACAAAATGCAAAATAAAAAAAAAGGGGGAAAAACAATGCTCTAATGCCAACAGGGCAAAAGGTATGCCCACGCAGGGGCTATCAATGGCACATAAGTTACAAAACATTAATGTAACTGATTATAACAACTAAATGCAGCTGTCCTAGTCACACCAAAAACAGAGAGAGAGAGAAAAAGGAAAAGAAAAAAAAAAAGAAAAAAGGGGGGGCAAAGAGCAGGGATTCAAGAGCGCCAACACCGAACGCCATTACATCCCCAGACTAGCCGGGGAGAGTGAGGGAAGGGCATATTGCAACCACGGCTCCCAGCTTTTAGCTTTTTAATATATGTTGACATCTTGGCCTATGCTTCCCACTGTGAGGCTCCTGTTTTTGTTTTTTTTATCTCCTGCCCTTTCTACAGCTCCCAGACAGAATGTCTCCCAAGTTTTTTCTCCATTGCATTCCATTATTTCATGCCAGAAAAGGATTTTTGACTTTCATTTATGTTGTATGCTGATGGATATCTTAGTAAACATATTGGCTCCTGTCTATAAGTAAGCAAAAACCTAGACAAAGATGTGGCTGTACACACTTGACTTTGGAAAAACGTTTGACACAATTCCCCACACACGGCCAATATGTAAGTTAAATTCTAAGTTAAACAGACTTAGAAAATTAAGTTTGTAAATGGATAGAAAACTGGCTTAAAGATCATAATTTGTATTCCACGATTAATGATCCATGAATGGTCTAAGGTGGTGTATCCGAAAGCTCAGTGTTTGGACCCCTATTTTTTTAATTTATTTATAAATTATATAGTGTTTGGGATTAAAATTCCTATTTCTTTGTATGCTTGGTGAAATACTCTACTAAAAGATATCTTGAACTTACAAGCAGACCTTAGTGCTCTGTTTGATTAGGCAAGTGCGTGACAAATAAGGCTTAATGATGATAAATGTAAAGTTATGCACTTGGGGACTAAAAACATGCATAATCACACATACTAGCAGGAGAACAGCTGGGAGAGTCAATGATGGAGAAGGATCTGGGTGTACTTTTAGGCAAGGACTATGCAATACTGAGCAGGAGGAGAGGACACCGTGTGACCAGGGAGCAATACAGGAGGAGAGGTTGCCAAGGGCTGTGTGACCAGTGAACAGAAGCAGGAGAAAACAAGTGTGGCCCAGTTATCAGTAAAGCAGGAGCAGGACAAGTTGTCAGGGGGGTTTGGTGTGATATCAGAGAGCAAGAGTACCCAAAGTGTTAATGAAATGAATAGAACTTAGACTAGGTAAAAATAAGAAGTTCAACAGCAAATTATTTAAAATAATTCCAGATTTTTCTTGGAATATCCCTATAAGGGTAGCAGGTAAAATGTCCAACAAGAGAGGTGATGCGACCCAGTGCCCATCATGCTCCATGTATACGTTCCTTGAAGAGCAATTCAAGGGTGCATACTGCTGTGCAAGATGTGAGCTAGTTGTTTGGAAGCCCAGATTATAAAGAGTCATCTGGCAACATTGTGAATCATCAACAACCTGGAATTGAGTTTGGACCTTACCCATCAGCTACTGCAGAAACCGGAGGTAGGTAGTTTGGCAACAGTTAAAAGGAGGGGTAGAGGGAAGAGCGTTAGAGAGGCCAGTCCTGAGTTGGTACATCCCAATAAATAAGCCAAGTTGCATGATGTTGGATATATCAGCTCAGGGGTGGTGCTGCTGGTGCAGACTTCCTCCCCTAGCTGCCAGGGGAATACCTGCTCGGCTAAGGATAGGAGCATGAATACAGGCAAGCTTAGGCAGATACTGCTGGTGGAGGACTTAATTATTAGAAATGCAAAAAGTGCAATCTGTCACAAAGATCGTGATCACCAAACAATATGTTGTTTACCAGGTGCTTGGGTTTGACACATCATGGTTCAGATGGGGATATTGTTGGGTGGGGCTGGGGAGGACCCAGCTGTCATGCTGCATACTGGTACAAATGACAAAGTCAGAAGAAGATGGAACATCCTTAAAAATTATTTTAGGGACTTAGGTGCTATATTAAAGAAAAGGATCTCAGAAATACTGCCTGTACCACAAACCACACCAGAGAGGCAGCAGAGAGGGGCTTAGAGAACTAAACAAGTGGCTGAGGAACTGGTGTAAGAAGGAGGACTTTGGTTTTATGGAGAACTGGGTTTACTGTGCTTTCAGTTACCTGCTCTACAGCAGAGACGGATTGCACTTAAATGGGCGGGTGCAGCTCTCTTAAGGGAGAAGATGGGCAAAAGTTTGGAGAAACTAGGATGCAGGGCCACTCCTGTGCTCCCCAACATCAAGCAAATTTGTTGGGATGTATCAACCCAGGACTAGCCTCTCTAACGTTTTCCCTCTACCCAGTCTTCTAAGGCCTTGTTCACACATGGCATATGAAATCGTGCCCCGTGTAATGGTGTTTAACTGCATGGAGATGCACAGGTTTTCATGTATCCCCATGTGAGCAGTCCCATTGCTGTCAATTGGGACGCAGCTGGTGCATACATACAGCTGCTGCTCCCAAAGTAATATCCATGCCAGTGCACACACCCTGGGTACATTTGGAGCCATTCACATGCACAGATGTCACATCAAGAAGAGTGGCTGTGTCCGTGCAGCCCTTGTGTCCCAATTGATTGTAATGGGACTGCCCACACGGGGATGCACCGAGCACGGTCATCACATGGGGCACAGATTCATATGCCCCGTGTGAACAAGGCTTTATTGTAAGCCAACTACCCTACTTTTCTTCTTTTTTTTTTTTTTTTTTTGCATGTACATTTTCTCTTCAGTAATCCTTAAAGTGTATGAAAAGGCGAAACCTTTTTTTCTAGTTTTGGATATAGTGGAGAAGGTTTGACCCTCTTTTAAATTTTTGCTGTTGTCTGTACACCACCTTACAAGATTCACCCTCTCTCTATCTCTGGTGACCAAAGTTATGACAATTCAAAATTTTAGAGTTGTCACCAGAGCAAGAAATAAGGGTTAAGCATTGATTGGGAACAAATATTCAGCAAGAATAGTTTAAGACAGATTTACCCTTAATTTGGTGTGTTTTTTATTCTTCCGTATTCTATTCAGACCTAAAAAAAGGTTTTGGCTATACTGTATATAAATTTTAAAATAAATTATGTACTGCTGGTATTCTTTTTTCTATTTCATCATTCTTTTGTTTCTCAGAAAAAGATACATTTTATTGAAAAAAAAGGTCAACAAAACATCTACATCAACCCAGCAAAATTGTTACACAAGTCAAGACACAAACAAAGTCACCATCAGTACCATGGAAATAAGAAAAGGACATTCCAACAATAAGGAGAATTTAAGACACATACCCTCACAACAATATTCTATCCATAATAAGATCAGTGAGACTAAGGCCCAGGGTATCCAGCCACAAGCCCCAGATCTTTTCAAATTTCCCTGGACATCCCCTGTGCTGGTAAAAGTAGCATTCCAGTCGGAGCATACAAACTATAGATTTAACTCATTCCACATGTTAAGGGGGATCCTAGGATTTGCAATGAAGAAGAAAGTAAGGGATTTCCGGCAAGAAGAATCGGGAACGCGCATGCGCATAGGAATTACCCAGAAGAATTGCAGGAATGCGTGATCGCGCATCTGCACACGCACGGCGTAGATTGGCGCCAGACGGCCCATTTAAGGAGTGCCTCTGCTCAGGTTCAGTGCTGACTGGTCTTCAGCTTCCCCCGTGTCCTGCTTGTTCCTGTACGATTCCTCTGTTACCAACCCGGCTTGTTCCTGACCCGACTTCGATTACCCTCCTGCTACCAATTCCTGACTTCGGCTCTGCTCCTGACTTTGGCTTTTCCTTCTGATTCTGTACCGCGCTGCCTGACTGTTGATGACCCTGGCTATCCTATGACCCTGCTGCAGTCTCTTGTCCTTGCTACCTACCTTGCTCTGCTGCACGTCTGCCAATTTACAGAACCTGCTCTGTCTGTTATTACGGTGCCTAAATCAGAGGATCATCTGCCTTCCAAGGTCATCATCTGCAAGAGCTGCAAACAACAACCACTGACGCTCTTGTCCCCCTGGACCCTAGACTCCCTCTGTTCCAACCTCAGCGGGGTCAGGGCTAGTGACACAAGTGAGGCCAACCTCGTCAATTCAGTCTCCCATCAGGTACGTGACAAAGAATCAGTCTATAGGCCTGACATAGAGCCCGATTAATGGCTTCCTGATCAAACTATCAACCTGCAAATCACCTAGGACATCCAACACACATTAGGGATGAACAGACCGAGTGGTTTGAAACACCCCATTAAGTGTGGTCACTATGCCTGCTCAACACAAATGCAACTTGGGGCAACACCATAGTAGATGGACTTGATCTCCATGATCTCGCCTGTATTCAATAAAAGTAGGATCTGGTAAAGCCTCATCTTAAATAGCTTCACTGGGGTGTAATATGCTCTAAGAATTATATAAATTTTCATGAGCCTTTGGGCTGTGTTTAAAGAGCAAGTATAAGTAATCTCCAGAGCGTCCTCCCACTTTTCTGGATAGCCAGACAGAAAGGTATTCAGTAACATTGCATAGCT